GGCGTTTGCTTATATTGTGTATAATCTTTCCCACTAATTATAAACCCTGTGAGGCTACCTTACTCTCTTCCTGTCTCCCTATGTTTAACTTATTGCACATGTTAAATTATTATATGTTATTACTACCATATATATAATATAGTATGTATCATTATTCTATGTTATTGTTCTTATTTGCCTTTCTATGTGTTCTTTGCAGACCAGACCTTTTGTTCTCTTTAAAATGGGAGTTTTTTCTGTTTTGTTTTTTTGTGTGTGTGTGTGTGAGGAAGACTGGCCCTGAGCTAACCTCTGTCAATCTTCCTCTTTTTGCTTGGGAAGATCAGCTGTGAGCTAACATCTGTGCCCATCTTCCTCCACTTTGCATATGGGACGGCGCCATAGCAGGGCTTGATGAGTGGTGCTTTGGTCCGCACCCGGGATCTGAACGTGTGAACCCTGGGCGGAAGAAGTGGTGCGTGCGAACTTACCCACTACGCCACCGGGCTGGCGCAAAATGGGAATTTTGTGTAGTGATTGAGAGCATAGACTCTGGAACCAGACTGCTTGAATTTGAATTACGTAGTAAACCTTGGGTAAATTACTTAACATCAGTATACCTCAGTTTCCTTATCTATACAATGGAGATTTGAAGATTAAATATATTTTATGTAAAGTCCTTAAAACAGTACTGGATACATAGTAAGTATGTATGTTATGGAAATTTTAGCGGTTATTATTGACTGATTTGGGAGAAAGTCAGTTGAATAATGTAGGGGATGAGGGAGAATTCTTCCTCCCTTTCCCTTAAGGTTCTTATGGCTGGTCAAATAATTAGAAAGGCAAGTTAGCAGGAGAAAATAAAACAAAGTTTAATAACGTGTATACATGGGAGAAACCCAGGAAAACTCGCCACAAGGCCAAAATTACCCCCTTAAATATCATCTCAACTAAAGATAAAGCAGGATGTTGTGGGTAGTGGTTTGGGACTTCAAAGGGGGGGAGGGCAAGTCACATGGAGATGGGAAAGCAAATGTTTGTTAGACAGCTGTTTACTGCGCCACCTATAGAGAATGTGGCCCCAGAGACAGAATTTCGATAAGATGGGCTTGTTGGTGCCTTTCTTATCACACCTATTTTACACTATACTATAGTTATCTCATGGTATTAGCTCCTTCCTAGATCAAGCCTTCTATCTTAAATTCTTTTAGGCAATTTAGGGGAAGGCCAAATGTTCTTCCTGAGTCTTCTGAGCCCTTGTTGTCTTCAGCTCGAACTAATCCGCATAGAGTGGCACATCTTGGGGCGGCCTGCCCTCAACCCCATCAATAAGATCAATTCTTATTTACTTTACCTGAGTTTGTATTCTTTAAAGATCTGCCCATTTCTTTTCATTAAAATGGCCAATTTCTGAACTCTTGAAATTATAGTAGCCTCTGTCTCTTGAGGCACACTGTCATCGTAATGAATTAGACCTTTAACAACTGTGTTCACGTTACATTTTCTCTTGATAAATTGGATTCTAGTGTTCAGGGATATTAATCCACCGTGTTTGTTAATACCTGCTTTATAATTGCAAAAAATATTACAGACAGTGGGAACACTGACAAAATTCCCTTCTTGGGATATTGGTGTCTTTGCAATGCTTTGTGCCACATTGTACTAGAGGTATGCATTAATCAGCTGTCCTGTGTGGTCTGTTGCCTTGATGCTTAATCACTTGACTGATGGCCCTTTTGACAAAGAATACAGCCAGTTTCCTACAGCTGAATTATGTTTTACAACTGTTTAAATCACTTTTTTAAAACAGCTGAAACATTCCAAGTATGAAATAAAAATGCAGTTTATTTCCATGTTTAAAATAATTTGATTAATATTATTTTTCAAAGAAAATATTTTTGTGTATTTTGAAATTTAAAAAGTTCTATGAAACTAAATTTATCATTGAAATGAACTTTCATAACCACTTGTTTTAAGAATTACTGGTGACAGTGGATAGCAGAAATGAATTTTGTAGAAGAAGCAAGACTTGTTACAATTCTTTTTTGAATTTAATTGCATAAGTAGGTGTGTTTCAATTAATTTATTTACCTTTTATTTTTGTTCCAACCTAACTAGTCACTGTTTATCATTTTTGATTATGCTATCAGATTTTGTAATTAAAGCAGCTGAAATATTGTATTGTGAAAGAAGAGGCCATCCATTTTGGATTAGCTCTGAAAAGCTCTCTGTACTGGAAACTACCTTGTTCATTTGGGTTATTCCATGATCTGTTTCTAGAGTCTAATTATGTTTATGTCTGGGAACAGATATTAACTCTGTCAGAGATTGGGAACAAATGATTCATTGTTTGAAAGTACCTACATCCTGAGTCTTAGTGATGTAGAAGTTGCATTTTTACAAAAAAGACAGCTGGGGGCCAGCTGGGTGGCACAAGCGGTTAAGTGCACAGGCTCCACTGCGGCGGCCCGGGGTTCACTGGTTCGGATCCCGGGTGCGCACCGACGCACCGCTTGTCAGGCCATGCTGTGGCGGCGTCCCATATAAAGTAGAGGAAGATGGGCATGGATGTTAGCCCAGGGCCAGTTTTCCTCAGCAAAAAAAAAAAAAAAAAAAAGAGGAGGATTGGCAGATGTTAGCTCAGGGCTGATCTTCCTCACACAAAAAAAAAAGGCAGCTGTTTATCTTCCTTTCCCTTTTAACCAAAATTTACTAGAAATAATATTATTTTTTATGCTTTTTGGTCAGTATTTCTATTATTACTTCTTCTTGTTAAACTATAAAGAACCTCAATATTCTAGAATATTAAAAAAAGAATATTGTACAAGTTCTTGATATCTCAGTATATTAAGAACAAAACATAACCAGGATGTAAGAAAATAATAGTAGTGAAGTCAAAACAAAAAGTTAATCTTTTAGTATGAGAGTTCAGAATGAACTAATGTAGCTAAATAATTACTTTTGTTGAAAAAAGAGAGCTGTCTTGAATAACAGGGTAGCAACAGAAGAAATAATAGACTTATTTGCTTATCATCAAATCATTCTTTTGACAGATAGCATTTTTATTTATATGTCAGTTTTCTCCCTGCTGTGTCTTTGGACTATTATTTTAATAAGTTAGTGTTTAAACTTCTTTTTTTATATTAAAAACTAATAGTTTGGAAATGACATATTAACTTTTACTAGTACAACATTGGAAGGCTGTTGATTTATTGGCTGTGAATGTTTGTAGGTGGAGGAGGGGTATTTAGGGATAATATAACTGGTTCTCCCTTGAAGTCACAGACCAAAACCTCCTAAGGATAGGATTTCAGTTCTGATAACTCTGTCCTTTGCCAGACACAGTAATATTTCTCCTTCAATGGCAAGAGGCTGTGGGTATAAATTGAGTCAAGATAGATGAACAGTTGCTATTGATATAGTTATGCTGCATTAGAATCTACATGGCAGATAAGAGTAGCTGAGACAGCAGTTCAAGTGAAGTTGTTGTACAAATGATCTGTTGCATACATAGTGATATTTTATTGGAGGGAACATTTGCTGAATTGTGCTATAGTCAATGACATTTAATGAAATTCCTTTAAAAATTTTATGAAATTAATAAAGAATTTAAAGCTATAATGAAAAGTGAGCATCTCGTGTGTTTTTATGGGAAATATTCCTATTGTGTACTTATTTTCTTTATTCATCATCATCAGCTCAGCAGGCTTCTTACTAAATTATTAACTAATCATTAACTGTTCTGTATAAGGATATCACAGGTAATCTGTGAAGAAAAGTATGTCATGCAGTATTTGTATGCATTTAATGAATGCTTAAAATATGCAGTGTACTATCATATCATTTTAGCCACTTACAATCTAGCTAACTTTGGGCAAATTACTTCACCTCTAATCCTTGATTTTCTCATGTGTAAAATATGATAAAAATAATACCTATCCTAGAGGATTATTATGAGAATTAAATGGGTTAATACATGCAGGGGTTATAGTTAGTGAGTGGTCAGTGAATGTTAACTGTTACTATTACTATGTAATTAATTGTAGATCATTGAGAATTCTTATGTTTTCTCTAGCCTTATGGCTAAGCTTCTACAAAGGATGCTTAATGGATTAAGAAATAATGTACGTGATGATTCATTTCAGTCTTAATTCCATTAGGTCACTTTATTTCTTGCTGATTATATAACAACTTTGTTGAGGCTCCAGGTTAAGTTTTATAAAGGTGAATAAGGTGTTGTGCTTTGCTTTGAAGTAGCTTGTTTTGAACATCTATAAAAAGTCAGTAAGAGGGATGGATTCCCTAAGTAACTCTAAAAAAAGGGAGATTTTTAGTTTTTCTCTTATTTGTGGTATAAGGAGTCTGTATTGGGGGTTCTTAAGTCAGAACATATTTGATTGGGAGATTAGAAATGGATTTGGGAAAACATGATGGTAATTTAATGATTCCATTTTTATGTTATTTTATCTCTTTGTCATCACCCCTTCCTTAATTGCTTCAGTAATTCAGCTTGTATTCTAATTTATTTATTAAAATAACATTAAATACTGTGAAATTCTATCATCCTCACAAAATGGTAGGAAGGGAAATCATTAGAATTTTTGAAAAGATAATTGGTAATTCTCTTTTGACGTATTTTTAATATACCAAACCATTAAATCTTTCTTCCCTACTTTTACAGTATAACTTATTAGCCTTCACAATTGGGTAAGTTGTAATACGGTACTAAAGCTGAGTTGAAAAACATGTCACGTTTCTAGGAACAAAAGAACCATCTATAAGCAGAATTGTGTAGCTAGGCACATTTCACTACCACTTGTAATTTGATGTGTGTTGATAATGACTTAATCTGAGCATAGATAGGGCCTACTACAATTTGAAGCATTTCAGGTAGCTCTCTTACCCTCATAGACAGAATCATTTTAGAAACAGAAAAAATAAAATTCTGAAATGTTATCATTGTAAACATCACAAGGATAGGTTAATAGTCTTACTGACCAAGTATATACTTTTTTCCTTAGTATTGAATTTGACCGGGATTGTGATTATTTTGCAATTGCTGGGGTTACAAAGAAGATTAAAGTCTATGAATATGGCACAGTCATTCAAGATGCGGTGGATATTCATTACCCTGAAAATGAAATGACCTGCAATTCCAAAATCAGGTACTTAACATTATTTTCTTGGCATAATGCAGTGTAGTATATAACAATTAGTATCTATAATTTGTATGAGTTTGTTATTTTACATTTCCATGAGACTCCTTACTCATTCATGGTGAACACTATAATTGCTAAATGTATCCTATAAGAGAGGATACATCAGAATATCTTTCTTATAGATACTGATTGCTTTTCCCCTATGTGGGTTAGTAGTTATTGTTTTTCTATTTGCCAAATGAAAATCTTCTTTCTTTCACTTAATCAGATAAAGATCTTTGTTGTAGATAGCCTTTCATGGGCTGTTGAATAAAGGATTACTGTAGCCTATGAGAAGTGTCTGAAAGTCAAGAATTTTTCCCCTAGCATGCACATGTCTCTAAATATTATAATTGTTTATAGTTTTAAGAATTTTTTTCACAAGAATGTTCTGCTTTTCATTGAGAGCATAATATTTAAGTTCATGTATTAGGGGTTCGAGTTCATAATGAGTGCTTTTCAAACCTGGAATAATGTTAAAAATGCAGGCCTGGACCCTACTTCTAATCTGCCCCCCAAAAATCTCAGAGGAATCCTTGAATCTACATCATTTAAATAAGTTCCTAAGCTATTCTCATGGGTACTGACCTAAAAGGGAATGGTATAAGGAAATCATCTAATAATAAATTTATTTAGAACTTGGAACATTTTCCAAGCAATCATCCTTGTACCTTTTTTATCTAGATGAATGACATATATAGTATGTGTGTGCATATGCTCATTTTAATAATGTTAATAATATAGCAAGTATTACGGTCTTTATATAATGTTATAGCCTTCCTTTTGTTTCCTAATTCATCCATAAAAATGGTAGATTGATAATGTGTAACCCTGCTCGTTCATCGGTGACACTCATCGTTGAGAATCTGTTACAGTTTTTGTCATAAGTGGAAAGAATGCAACATTAGTATGACATAAGTTGATGGAATTCTTATGTGGCAGAGATTGTCCTAAGAGCTTTGCCTTTAGCAGACCTATGAGATAGTTACTGTTATGGCCTCATTTTATACGCAAGGAAGCTGACACACAGAAAGGTTAATTAACTTGCTTAGTATTACACAGTTAGTCTCTGGAGGAGCCAGGACTCAAACAGAGGTAGTTTGGTTCCAGAGTCTGTGATCTTAACCATTTCATGCTGCTCATTTATAAAATGGAGACCATAATAGTAATACCTGTTTCATGGGATTGTACTTTAAATAAATACGTGTAGGGGCCAGCCCCATGGTGTAGCGGTTAAGTGCGTGTGCTCCGCTGCTGGCAGCCCTGGTTCAGATCCTGAGTGCGTACCGACTCACTGCTTGTCAGGCTGTGCTGTGGCGGTGTCCCGTATAAAAAGTGAGGAAGATGGCCACGAATGTTAGCTCAGGGCCAGTCTTCCTCAGCAAAAGGAGGAGGATTGGCATGGATGTTAGCTCAGCGCTGATCTTCCTCACTAAATAAATAAACAAACAAACAAACAAACTCAACACAACACTCCACACAATACTCGGCCCATATCAAGAATTCAGAGTAAACATTACTGTAAGGAAAATGTGGATTAGAGAGTTTACCTTTTCTGTCTTGATATATGTAAAAATATGGCAATACTTGATGGTACTTTGCAATAAACAGAGGAAGCTATTCAAGGCTGGAAGCTATGGACTTGGGAGTGAAACCAATTTGGAGCATACCAATTGTGAAAGTCAACTAAATTACCCAAAGCCACATCTAGTAGGTGGCAGATCTGGAATTTGAACTCAGGTTTGTCTAAATCCAAAATTTAGCTCTTAACTGTCCTATATAATTTCTCCCAGAAAGTCTATTAAGTATATTTAAACGTGCAAATGAACTCTTCCAATCCCTGAAATTTAGTATGAATGCAACTAGTAGAGAGCAAAAGACTTTATTGTGTTCATAAGCTTGTAAGTCATCTAGGTTAATTGCTTTCTAAGGGGGTTCTTCCTTAATATTCATTAGCTTTACTTATATGATGATTCGAATATGTGTCTCACCACAAGCACACAGTTTTAGATGTTGCATTCTCAATTTTGGAGCATTTGAGAATAGCTGAAACCATAAATGTTAAATCTTTAATTCTAACTGTTAAATGCTTTTAATTGAAATTTCAGTCATAAGCTTATATTAGTTAAGATTTTTTTTAATGTAAATACAGAAACCTAATTCAGATTAGTTTGTTGGCTTATATGATTTGACATAACTGGATCCAGGGGCCTAAACAATCTGATGAGGTCTCTGTCGTTCTGCCCTGGCATGCTTTGTGCCCCCTTGGCCTCTATTATTCTTCACTCATGGACATGCTCTCTTCATGTATCAAAGATGGCCAGTGGCAGCTTTAGGTTCATATCTATTTTCCAGCTAGTGATCAGAGTGTAAAGTGGTAAGGGTTGTTACTTGGTAGTTTCAATAGAAAAATCTGGGAATTATTTGGTACGTTTCTTCCCAGATGTGTTGTGGGCAGAATAATGATTGTGAACTCATTAGACCATTTAAAAAGGGTTCTAATCTTTCTGAACACATCCAAATTCTTTGTAGTTATTGTTATTTATTTTTACGTAAAGTAAGTCTTAACTATATTTTTGTCTTTCAGCTGTATCAGTTGGAGTAGTTACCATAAGAACCTGTTAGCCAGCAGTGATTATGAAGGCACCGTCATCCTATGGGATGGATTCACAGGACAGAGGTCAAAGGTCTATCAGGTAAATAAGGATACTAGTTATTTGTTTTAAGAATCACATTTTTACTTTTTTTTCTTAATAATTGTAGAGCTTCATGTGCTTTATAATTACAAATTTAAAGTCACTAGCATTTATTTATACCTACGTAATACCAAATAATGCTTTTCTGAAGCATCTCCTCAGACTTTTGCATTTGTAGCATGTATCAAATGAATTTCCAAAAGCCATAATTTTAGTAAATGTATATATTAAAAGTTTGGGAAATACTTTGCATCTCATTTGTTTTCATAGCCTGTTCTCTCTCCCTTCCACCATAGCAATAAATTGGTATCAAGTTGGTTTTTTTTTTTTTGCTTTATTTATTTTAAGATCTATGTTCTATCTGAGAATACTTTGTCTTTCTTCTACATCCAGGAGCATGAGAAGAGGTGTTGGAGTGTTGACTTTAATCTCATGGATCCTAAACTCTTGGCTTCGGGTTCTGATGACGCAAAAGGTACTATTTGAACCCCCACCCCCACCCCCCTGCCCACAACCTTAATTACTTTTACTGGCAGAGATGCAGATATTTATTGAAATTCATAGCAATCTTTTGTGATTATTGATTATTCCAAATATAATCTAAGCACAAAAATCTATGTCTCTTTTGGAGTGAAAGAAAAATGAATGTAGTGCATCTTCATTATAATACTGTTTTCTGGATTCATGCCACATGGTGACATTTTTATAACCAATTCTATTATATGTACCATCAAGTGAACTTTTTTTTGCTGAAATATTTAGACATCTCAGTATTCTGAATTATGTTAAATTTCCAGTGTATACTAAAAATTTTAAAGTTTATCATATTTCAGGGAAAAAAATTCTACATCTCTTTCTGCCAATTTAATTCACCTCTCCTTTTTTTTGTTGTATATCCATCTTTATTATTCATTCTTTTCTGTTGTTCTTACTGTCCTGTTTTAGCCTTGGTTCTTCTCACTGTTAGATTTATAAAGAAAAGAAAGTGAAAATGTGGTTCTTAAAGCAAATAACTAATATCCTTATTTGCCTGATAGACCTTTGACCTCTGTCCTGTGAATCCATCTCATGGGATGAAGGTGCCTTCATAATTGCTGCTGGCTAACAGGTTCTTATGGTAACTACTCCAACTGATAAAGCTGAAAAAAGGATTTCTTTTATCTTAGAGTTAGCCTTAATTTCTTTGCCCTTTCCTTCTTTTCTACGTGTAACTTCCAGACTAGTGGTTAGATAGGCAAGGATAGCTCTGTTGTTGAAAATTTTATTTCACAATGATAGAGCATGCCCTATTCTGTAAAGGGAAATGAACATGACTGGACTGCCCACCAGAAAGTTTTGGATCAAAAATAAGCAAGTTTTTTACCCACAGTATATATAGATTAGAATACCTACCTTCTCAATTATTTTAAGAAATTATCCTTAAATTTCTAAATTATTTAGAGCATCATGTTACAATTGATATTTTTATGTTTGAATACAGAGTTTTACTAATTAATGTTAAACATCCTTTTTCATAATAATATACTGGGGATATCCTTTACTGAGTTGAATACTTGTGTTTTTGTACTGAAGATTAACATTTGTTAAAAGGTTTTAACTGGTCAGAGTCTTCATCAGGAAAATAGAAGTCATTCTAAGCAATTTAAGTAGAAGAGATTTTTAAAAAATTATTTATTCATTTTAAATTGTATTAAAATACACATAACATAAAATTAACCATTTTTAAATGTACTGTTCAGTGACATTAAGTACATTCACATTGTTGTGCAACCATCGCCACCATCAAGCCATAGAACGTTTTTCATATGGAAAAAACTGAAACTCTGTACCCAATAAACAATAACTCTCCAATTCCCTTCCACCCAGCCCCTGGCAGTCGCCTTTCTACTTGTGTCTCTTTGAAATTGACTACTCTTAACTACCTCATGAGTGGAATCATGCAGTATTTGTCCTTTTGTGACTGGCTTATTTCACTTAGCATTATGTCTTCAAGGTTTATCCATATTATAGCATGTGTCAGAATTGCCTTCTTTTATAAGGCTGAATAATAATCTGTTGTATGAATATATCACATTTTGTTTATTTATTTGTTGGTAGACAGACACTTGTGTTGCTTCCACGTTTTGGCTGTTGTGAGTAATGCTGCTATGAACGTGAGTGAACAATATCTCTTTATATCCCTGATTTCATTTCTTCTGGGTATATGATCAGAAACAGAATTGCTGGATCATATGGTACTTATGTGTTTAATTTTTTTTGAGGAACCAACATTTTGTTTCCCATAGCAGCTACACCATTTACATTCCTACCAGCAGTGAACAACTATTCCTATTTCTCTATATCCTTGACAACACCCTTCTTTTCTTTTCTTTATTTATTAAATAATAACAATCTTAATGTGTGTGAAGTGGTATCTTATTGTGGCTTTGCTTTGCATTTCCCTAATGATAGTACTGTTGAGCATCTTTTTGTGTGCTTATTGACCATTTGTATATCTTCTTTGGAGAAATGTTTATTCAAGTCCTATGCCGGTTTTTTAATTGTATTGTTTGGTTTTTTGTTTTTGAATTGTAGGAGTTCTCTATATATTCTGGATATTAAGCCCTTATTGGATATTTGATTTGTGGATAGTGTGCTTTGAAGCGTAAAATTTTTTCATGTTGAGTCCAAATTGTCTATTTTTTCTTTTGTTTCCTGTTCATTTGGTGTCATATCTGAGAAGTCATTGCCAAATCCAGTGTAATGAAGCTTTTGCTCTGTGTTTTCTTCTAAGAGTTTTACAGTTTTAGCTCCTGCAATTGTGTCTTTGATCCATTTTGAGTTAACTTTTGTATATAGTGTAAAGGGAAGGGTCTGATTTCATTCTTTTACACATGGATATCCAGTTTTCTAATACTATGTGTTGCAAAGATCATCCTTTCCCCATGAAAGGTCTTGGCACCTTTGTCAAAAATCATTTGATCATATATGTGAGGGTTTATTCTGGACTCTATTCTCCTCTGTTGCTCTGTATGTCTGTCTTTATGCCATTACCATGCTGTTTTGATTATTGTAGCTTTTTTTTGAAATCAGGAAATGTGAGTCCTCCATCTTTTTTCTTCTTCTTCCAAGATTGTTTTGTCTGTTTGGGATCTCTTGAGCTTCCATATGAATTTTAGGATGAATTTTACTCTGTTTCTGTGAAAAACTTCATTGGGATTTTGATAGGGACTGCATTGAGGCTCATCAATTTAATTGATCTTCTGGAAGAACCACCTTTTGATTTCATTGATTTTTCTATTGATTTCCTGATTTTAATTTATTGATTTTTTTGCTCTAATTTGTACTATTTCTTTTCTTTTGGTTACTTTGGATTTAATTTGCTCTTCTTTTTCTAGTTTCCTAAATTGGAAGGTTAGATTATTGATTTTACATCTTTTTACTTTGCTAATATATGCATTCAGTGCTATAAATTTTCCTGTAAGTGCTGCATCTCACAAATATTTTGATAAGTTGTATTTTCATTTTCATTTAGTTCAAAATATTTTTAAATTTCTCTTGAAATTTCTTATTTGAATAGAAATAAGAGTTTTTAAAGGTATTATTTAGAAGTGTGTTGTTTAATCTCCAAATATTTTGGAATTTTCCAGCTGTTTGTTATTGATTTCTAGTTTAACTCCGTTGTGGTCTGTGAGATACGTTGTATGATTTCTATTCTTTTGTACTTGTTAAGGTATGTTTTAGGGCCAAGACTGTGGTCTGTCTTGATAAATGTTCCATGTGAGTTTGAGAAGAATGTGTATTCACCTGTTGTTGGATAATAGTCTGTAGATATCAATTACATCCAGTTGATTGATGGTTCTTTGAATTCAACTATGTTCTGACTGATTTTCTGCCTGCTGAATCTGTCCATTTCTGTAGAGGGGTGTGTATTTTTTAGACTCCACTTTGATCTATGTGTGTCTTCTATTACTATACCAAATTGTCTTGATGTGTAGCTTTATAGTAAGTCTTGAAATCAAGTAGTATGAGTTCTTCATCTTGTTCTTGAAAATGGTTTTAGCTCTTTACTTCCTCTGCTTTTTCATATACATTTTAGAATCAAGTTGCCGGTACCTACAGAAAATCCTGCTGGAATTTTGGTTGAGATAGTATTAAATCTATAGATCAATTTGGGGAGAATTGATATCTTAATATATTGAGACTTCCATTTCATAAACATGGTTTATCCATATTTATGCCTTTTTTGATTTCTTTTATCATAGTTTTAAGCATAGAGATCTTGCACATTTTTACAACTAAATAGTTTATATTTTTGGTGCTATTGAAAATGGTACTTAAAACATATTAGTATCCCTTCATTTTTTTTTACTAGTTTATATAAAAAATTTATTTTTAAATATAAATCTTGTTTCAGCAAGCTTGCTAAAGCCACTCTTTACTTTTAAGAGATTATATTTGGAAATTCCTTTGGGCCAATCGTGTCAGCAAACAGAGACATTAATACTTTTTTGTTTCTAATGTATGTGCCTTTCATTTCTTTTTCTTGCTTTATTGCACTTGCAAGAACTTCCAGAACGATGGTGTATGGGAGTGGTGACATGAACATCTTGCCTTGTTCCTCATCTTAATGAGGAAAGCTCGTAGACTTTCACCATTAATATGATGTTAGATTTAGGTTTTTATTGAGTGTGTTTTATCAAGTTAAGGAAATTTTCTTCTACCTATTTTGTTGAGAATTTTTATCATGAATGGATGTTAAATTTTGTAATGTTTTTTCTGTGTCTATTGAGATGATCACATTGTTTTTCTTCTTTTGTTTGTTAATATCATGAACTATAATGATCTATTTTCAAATCTTGAAGTAACCTTACATTCCCCGAATAAACCTCATCTTGGTCATGATGTATTATCTCTTTTTGGTATTGGTAGATTTAATTTGCTGATTTTTTTTTGAGGATTGTGTTCATGAGGGGTATTGGCCTTTGTTTTTCTATTCTTGAAATGTCTTCTTGTGTCTTTCATATCAGGATAATGCTGGCTTCATAAAATGATTTTCCTCTTCTATGTTTTTTTTTTTCAGGGGGGTGTGGAGGTGGAGGGAAGTGATTGTTTAGAATTGTTATTATTTTGTTCTTAAGTGTGTTGTGGAATTTGTCATTGAAACTTTCTGGGCCTGGAGTTTTTTTTGTTTGAAGTTTTTAACTAAGAATTTAATTATTTTAGTAGATTTAAGACTATTCAATACATCTATTTCTTCTTGAGTGAGCTTTGGTAGTTTGTGTCTTTCGGGAATTGATATTTTGTGTGTTCTCATTTATTATTTATTTAGGTCAGTGTGACATTAGGGTTATCAGTCTTATTGGTTTTTTCAAATATGTAACTTATTTCATTGACTTTTCTATTTTTAGTTTCATTGATGTTTGTTCATTAATTTTTTCTTCTTATTTTGGGTTTAATTTCCTCCTTTTTTTCTAGTTTGTTAAGGTTGAAATT